GACCCAGCCTTCTTCCGGTCGTCCTGGCAAGATGGGGATTATCATCGACTCAGATTTTATCCGATATCCGGTTCAGTGCATCCGGGTCCCTCGAGAATGCGAATGCTTTTTTTTAGGGTGGACGAAAGGGTTAAAGGCGATCTTTGCTTGCTTTTGGTGGGGGGGGGGTAGAGGGGGAGGGGGAGGGGGAGAGGGGTAGGAGTAAGGTGAGGGGGTAGGGGATACTGGGTGGGAGGGGGGTAGAGGGGGAGGGGATAGGGGTGAGGTAAGTCGTAGGGGGGAGGGGGTAGGGGTACAGGGAGGGAGGTAGATGGGCTTAGGGGTGGTAGAAAGTGGGGGGGAGGGGTAGAGGGGAGGGGTAGGGGCAGGTATGTCGTGGGGGGAGGGTACAGGGAGGAGGTAGATGGGCTTAGGGTGGTAGAAAGTGGGGAGGGGTAGGGGCAGGGTATAGGGGGAGCGGTAAGTCGTGGGGTGGGGGGGGTACAGGGAGAGGGGTTGATGGGCTAATAGGTGTTTGATATATGTAAATGATAATATGATAATGTACTAATGTCATGTATATAAACACATGTCAGCTCTCTATATTGTATTAGGCATAAACAAAATGTAATGCGCGAGTTTCATTGTATAGACTTTAAACACACGGACACATAGACTCGTTACGGCGTCAGGATAGGGCAGACAAATGAGATATTGCCTTCTATAGGCTAGCCAACGAGCTTAGTCGGCGGGGCCGTTGAGGCTTGTCAACAAAGAAGGAGACAGTCAAACTACTTGGCGATTTATGCAGTCTCTGTGACTTCCTGAGTACACATCACAGAGACATGGACGTGTTTCTATTTCCGGATACTGCAAGGAACGATATACACATAAATATGGGCGCTGTGAGTATTGCTCTGTGTTCAAAACGGAGAAAAACAAACGGACAAGACGGTAAATTGTTTCGCCATTCAGTAAGTAACATTAAGTGAATGCCGTGAACTTGGTGATGTACGACAGTGACTAATGGTGCAGTGTAGTGACAGTGAATCTATAGTCAACTCAAGGTGTATTATGAGTAAGGATTTCCACGTCGTGTCGGCCCCACGCGTTTCCTTCAAAGAAATCGGGGCTCATTGTGCTTAACCTATCATTACACATTTTCAAGTGGCTGTGAAAATTTCCACTGTCAATGCCTGATACCCGAAGTGGCGCTACTGGTGGTGGGTCGTTTCCCCCGAGTCCCGATACATCTGGCGGTGGTGCAGAGGACCCCTTATTTAGATTGCTGAAACTAATGGAGGCCAAAGGAGAGACAAAGGAGACGAGGATGAACATAGGAGGCAGCAAAGAGGATGAGAAATTCTAGGTTTCGATGAGCCAGCTGACCGGTATGATGCGGTTTCAGCAGCATTCTGCTCCAAGCTCACCATCTCTTAATCCCCGTGGAAGGACAGCTAACATCACCCCCCTCCTCCCCTCTCCCCGATGCTACTCTAAGTCAGTACACAGTCTGGTGGAGTTCATGGGATGATTTTGCGATCATAACCGACGTAGCTCGCATATCTCTGTCAGTGTTTGACAGAAGAAAGGAAAAATTGTTTGGCCCATTTAGGTGTAAGTACCGCATCTAATGTTCCTCTAGCTGATGTCTTAACCAAGATAGATCACCACCTTTGGTAATGTGTGTGTGTGTGTGTGTGTGTGTGTGTGTACTAACATGACATTAGTACATTACGTACTAATGTCATTTATATAACACATGTCAGCTCTCTATATTGTATTAGGCTACACAAAATGCAATGCGCGAGTTGCATTGTTTAAAGACTTTATACACACGGACACATAGACTCGTTACGGCGTCAGGATGGGGCAGACACCTGAAATGTTGCCTTCTATAAGCTAGTCAACGAGCTTAGTCTCTGTGACTTCCTGAATACACATCACAGAGAGATGGACGTGTTTCTGTTTCCGGATATTGCAAGGAACTTTATAGACATAAATAAGGTAGGTAGAAAGTGTGTGTGTGTGTGTGGGGGGGGGTTAGGAGTAGGGAATAAAAGGTGCGGTAAGTCGTAGGGGGGGGGTACAGGGAGGGAGGTTGATGGATAGGCTTAGAGGTGGTAGAAAGTGGGGTAGAGGGGAGGGGTAGGAGTACTGCAAGGAACTTTACAGACATAAATAAGGTGGTAGAAAGTGTGTGTGGGGGGGGTAGAGGGGAGGGGTAGGAGTAGGGAATAGGGGAGCGGTAAGTCGTAGGGGGGGAGGGGGTACAGGGAAGGCGTTGATGGGCTTACAGTGGTAAAAGTGGGGGTAGAGGGAGGGGACTAGGGGTACAGGAAGGGAGGTAAATGGGCTTAGAGATGTTAGAAAGTGGGAGGGGGAGGGGGAAGAGGATGGCTTGTGATGAAACATTCATTCGTGTGACTGGTTGTGATTTTATTGACATAAGGTGTGGTGGTTGTAGAGAGTCAGGTCATTGATAATGGTGTACCATCTTAAGAATTCATTTTTATACACA